GTCCTAGTAATCCTTTTTTGGGGCTTTCGATGGTTCAGTAATACTGTTGAAAGTCCATGCTACCTCTTAACTCAGGATTTCTAAGTGAGTTTCTGACTCTTTAGTTCTTTTGCTTTCTATACCCAGAGTCTTATCATGGGTTTGCACTGAAGTTTTATACAATACCAGTTATTAACATTCCTTTATGTAGATGTAATGTTACACTTTGCATAAATGCCCCGAGCTCCCATTCGAGATAGTGCAACAAAGGTTACAGATACACAAATCCAACTGATCGACAGAGACAGTTACCATAACACAGATCTTATTTTCCAAAATTCATCATCCATGGGATTTGAACTCTAGACCTGCCACTTGAAGGTTGACAACCTGACCACTTCACTAGGTCACCACACCCCGTAATAATTTATATTTATTTTCTATTTTTATTTTTATTTATTAGTAATTATATGCCAAAATCTTTCAGATAGATTAGTAAGTCTTATGAGTGAACTAAGCTTTTATTTTTAATGTACTTTTATTTTTAAATTTATGTACTTTTAAAAATTATTTAAATCTAACAGGATTTCTTTAATAAAGTTTTAAGTATTTTTATTGGCAAAATTACATACAAATTACTTCAAATAACAAAATCTTTATATAATTAATTCTATTAATATATGTAAAAGGCAAGTTCAAGACTGAATTAATATAAATTTTAGTAAATATATAAGATGGTTAGAGTTATAGATATTAATATTTGCTTTTTTTATAGCTGATCATCATTTTTATTAGAAGAGCTAACAAAACCTATGATGTCTTTTAATTTTCAATGTTGGATGCCTCTTTTACAGTTTAAACAAATAGTATCATGCTACATATTAATGATGTTATATGAATTAGATACACCAGATTTTAATAATCTATTATATTCTGTTTATAGTTTTGTTAATGCATTTAATAAAATCTAATTGAAACTGTAAAGTTTGAAAAAATATTATGCATTAATAAATCAATAAATTCATAGTTAGGTAGTAAAAACAAAATACCAGATTATCATAAAATACTATGCAATTTGCATTTTGTAGAACAAGAATGGAAAACACTAACAGATAGTTCTACAAATATTATTGTTCAACTAGAGCTCTGTGAAGATAAAGAAATAGAAAAAAAAAAGATTGCTTCATATTACAGCAGTACAATTGCATATATTTTGCATTTAATATAGCCATAATATGGTAATAAACGAACTGTAGTTGCTAATAGTTGGTTTGAGTCCTCAAAGCTTTATATAACATTAATACAAAATGAATTATTTAGTATCTTTCATATTAAAAAAAAGTGAAAGTAGTTTTTTAATTATTCTGGTAATATGGTTCAAAGGTTTGGAAGTATATACAAATTTTATGTCTCAAAAATTACAAATATTAATAATATATATTTAATGATGACTTCTTTAAAAAATTGAAAACTACAATGTATTGTTGCAACTGCATTGACTATAACAAAAGATGATAAAGTTAAACATATAGTTAAGAAATATACTAATTTTTCAGTAGTTAAATTTACAAGACCAAAAGTCTTTTTAAATATTCTTGTTTTAAAAGTGTCATTGATATTAATAATCAGGTGTGTAAAATTTTTTTTAATTACAACATTATTATTATAATGCTATTATATTAAATTACTGTTATAATATTTTTATGCTGTAATATAGTAATTGTTACAGTAACACTAATGTAACAATATGGATCTAATATTTGTAATTTTACTTTTTTTGTCTATTATATTAACAACTAATAGAATATATATTGAGTAATTAGGTACATAATAATATGATATCTTTTCATGATATTATGCATAGATCTTAGCTAAGAGATGCATATATATGCTTTTTTATTAGGAGTTGCTAAAGCAAATGCTTCTTCGACCTATAAAAAATAGAATAGTGAGATATATAATATATTATATTTTGATTTTAGATAATTATTAGCAAATTAGATACTTAGTTGGATTTTTACTAATAGTGAAATTTTATCATCAAATATATAATTACAAAAGCAGAAAAGAGAAATCAAATTATTATATAAATTAGAAACTTTTCCAAAAAAGAAAAAATTCAGAAATATTACAATTTATTCACAGTTACACTGCTTATATTATAGTACAAAAACAAAATATCATTATATTTGTAATACATTAAAGGCAATATGTATTAGTTGTTATAATCAATATTTTTTAACAAGTTAAATATTTCAAAATAATAAATAAATATTAAATAAATTGTGATTGTTTTTTTATAATAGTATTTTATATTATTTATAAATATAAAATTATTTTTTTACAGGAGGGTATAGTGACTTAGTGAAATAGTCAGATTGTCAACCTCCAAGTGACAGGTTCAGAGTTCAAATCTTAGTGTTAAAAAAAAATTTAAAAATCTTTTCTGTATTATGGTTAACTGTCTCTCGCAATTAGTTGGGATAAGATACTTGTTATCTATGTCGTATCAGCATAACTGGCAGGTCACATGACATTTGTGTAATAGTCACATGACATTGTTCTTTGGGACAAGATCTGTGGTTATATGAAGGAATGCAAACCAGTATTAGATGTACAAACTTACAATAAGTCCTTATGGCTATATAAATCATAGGAACCAAAAGAAGAAAAATGAAAGCCCACTTGGAAGATCCAAATAGAGAGGTAATCTGAACTTTTGATGATGCTATTGTAAAGACTAGACCTATGAAATGAAGCTAGAACTTGTGAAACCAGGCAAATATGCTGGTCTTTAAGGAAAGATCAGATGAACCAATCAGGCCATTGGAATTGCCAGATTCTAAAAAAAAAAGGTTATATGTTAGTAAACATGTAAACCAGAGATATATGGTTTTGATCTGTCTTTTTGGACTATCTGGTTTGACAGCTTGGTGGAACTTGAATTGAATACCAAAATAGTAGAAATATGTTGTAAAATCAGTACTAGGATTGAGATGAACTCTACAAGAACATAGCAGTTTAATGATATGCTCTGACCACTAGTGTTGGTCTCAGTCATAGCAATACTAAATTAGCTATAAGAATAGAATACAGAAGATTCTGAAAGGTTTAATACAAGGTCAAAGTTTTCCTATATGAGTGAACTGCTTTAAAAATTTAATGATCATGGTATATTTTCACTGGCATTGGCTGGAGTCATTAGTAGGCAAAGGTAGGTGAGTGGATATAGAAACAGAGTAGTTAAATAGGGAACCTACAAGCAGGTTCCAGGTATGACAACTAGTGTAAAACCTTCAGGTGGATTACTTAAATCAGACAATAACTAAAGTTGTACAAATGGCTAGTTGTATACTCTTCTCATAATTATCTCTTGTAGTTGTAAAGCATCTATTAGCCAAATATATTATCAATAAAATTCTGAATCACAAGTACTCATCTTAATATTTTAAAAAAAAATAAAAAAAATTTTTTTTATTATATTAAATTTAGTATAACAAAATTAAAAAAAATAATAATAATTTGTAATTTAATTTATACAATTTTTTAATAATAAATATTATTAAAAATTTTATCTAGATGTTAAAGTTGATTTGAAAATTATTTTTCTAAAATTTGGTTAAAACTAATCTTATATTTAATTTAAAAAAATTTTTTTTTTTTATACTAAATTTATTATGTTTGACCTATAAATACCCATTAATAATAGATTAATCTTTATTGTAATTATTTATATATATATAATATTTATAAAAACACTGCTTTTTGATCCTTTAAAAAAATTAAGTGTCTATACACTTAAGAAACATCTTTATATATTTAAGAAATATCTTTATATACTTCAGAAATGTTTTTATACATTTAAATAATTAATAAACTAAATGCAATATTTAGTATCTTCATATACTATCTATTGTTATCTCTGCCTTAAAATCTCAAATTACACTTGTTAAGTCTTGTTATAAACTTTGTATAAAATTTATTAAGTTATATTCTTCATACTATAGTTGAATAACTTCTATTATTATTATGGTAATAAAAAAACTATAGGTTAACAGCAGATATGTAATAGATACTGAATTAAATACCAACAGAATAATTCGAGTTATTTTGGTGATAATTGCATCATCATCAAATAACTTCGTTATTTGATAATGATGCAATCATCACCAAAATAACTCGAATTGGTTCGGTCGTCGTAAGCCACCCGATAAACCTGTTATTGGATGCTATATACGCAATCAGATAAAATGAATCATTTTTGCAAATAATTCTGCTTCGCATCCAATAAACTATATTTTATTAATTAGTAAATCGAAAGAATCCCAAAACTAAAATGAATGAATTAGAAAATGTGTTGTTGTCTATTGAATTATATTCGGTTTATAAAATCTTTTTTAAACAATGTTTATTGTTACGATTCGTCACTACAAAATTGGCCCTAGGAGCAAATATCAATCGTGAAATACATTTGGATAATGTTTATTTATTTATTTAGAAAAGAAAAATATGAAACTCTATAGTGTTTATGTTATAGTTATTACGATATTTGTTGTAATTTCTATTACATTCGAAATTCAGGAGTATGATAAATTCGAGAATAATATGACAAAAAAGGTAATGTTTTTATTCAAGTAGCGTAATGATGACTATTATTCTTTGTTTAAAAAGAGAAATCACCTAGAAGCCGAATACATAATTTCGAATCATAATAGTTCTAACCCCAATCTTAACGTTAAATAAAAAATTTAATGAGCATTGTAGAGTGAAAACTCGTTAGCTGATAGTAAATAATTAAGTCTGATGTAATTTTCAATAGAAGCGCCAATAAAATAATTGTAAATTACGCCTTTTATACCTTAACAGTTAAATATATATACATATGCAATGTCCTACTGAAACTTTGCAGCATACTTATGTAATGTATCGAGAAGACTAGAATCTGAATAAAAATGTACATTGAACATAATTTTTTTTTGATATCTCCTTTTGAATTTTAATTCATTAGTGAAAAAAAAAAAATGGCGAGCAAAGAATTTTCAGTATGTTAATATAAATATATGGATTTGCTTTTCAATTTTTAATTCTTTATATATTTATCAAGTTAATTGACCGCAAAATCAGGCATTAGAAGAAAAAGACATTCAACCGGGTGATTATGTTTCTACACCGTTTCGTGGAGGAACGCGTCAAGGTTATACCAAAAAAATCGTTAAGACTAATGAAGAAGCAAAAGAAAATCCAATTGTCAAAAGGTAAATATTTACATTAATAATAAACATTATTATATAAGCTTTATATTACCGAAATTAATAATAATACTAGACCACCAAAGGTTATTTTCGATGATCAACATGGACATGAGGTTCGGCAAAAATAAATTAATGAGTAACTTTTTGAATAATTCTTGAAAAGTTCTAATTTTTTTTTTATAGGTGGCACATAATCCAAGCACACTGTCTAAAGATGAATCAAAGGGCAAAAGAGATGAATAATTCTTTATCATGTAGACTTTTGTTTGGTCTATTGCAATAGTAAAATTCAAATGTTCACCAATTTAATAGCTATCATAGCAATTTAAAGATTTTGCGTTTGACATAAATTTAATGTTTACTATGATATCGAAAGATTTTTTTTTTTTTATCAATCAACAATTTGAGCCAATCGATAATTACTTCTACCTATTCTAAATATACAAATGATACCATCAATTAAATCACTTTTGTGTAATTGATATTGTGGATCACTAATTCGCTTGCTATTCAAATACAACCCTCCAGATTTAATCAATTTGTTAGCTTCACTACGTGACTTACACGCACCAGTAACAACAGCTACGCGATCAATTGAACAATTTAGAACATCATTACGTTTAACGGTGGTCAAACATCGCGAGTCGTTTGCAAACGCATCAATTATATCTCGACTGGACATATTTTTGATTGGCGTATCAAATAAAACACTAGTAGCAAACTGTGCTTTCCGGAGTCCTTGTGCTTAAGAATGGAAAAATAAATTGCTTTTAATATTTAAAATAAATTTGATAACTAAGTACATAATAATACCTACATCCGTGCACAAGTTCCGTAATTTCAGATGCCAACCTTTCTTGTGCATAATGTTTTTCTGGTGACTCCTGTAATTAAAAAATCACTTTAAAAATCTATTGTCAATACATTAATTATTTCATAAACTTCATACCATATGTGTTTTTACGATATGAGCTATCTCTTCAATATTTAACAATGTAAACATCCGAAGATATTTTTCTATATCTACATCGGCAACTTTCATAAAATACTATAGATAAATTAAAAAAATATGCGTAATAATATAGTAATCAAATAATAAAATAATCAACTATTACTTGATAAAATTCATAAACACTAGTTATATCTTCATTCAACCAAATCGCATTTCCTGTTGATTTACCAAACTTTTCTCCTGTAGAAGTTAACAACAAGGGAATAGTGATTCCAAATGCATTATCTAATTTATATTGGACATTTTTAACATTAATCACGTCGTGAGCTTTCTTCTTTATCAAATCAATGCCTGCAGTGATATTTCCCCATTGATCACTACCTCCTAACTTGAATGAAAAAAATTCAATAAACATGAAAAAAAGCTTTAATAAAGAAAAATTATTAAATTTACAACACCTGAATCCGACATTGATGATGATTATACAAATACCAAAAATCATAAGCTTGAAGTAATTGATAAGAAAATTCTGTAAAACTTATTCCACCTTCATTTTCCATTCTTAATTTGACACTTTACAAAGTTAAGATTTAAATTGAAAAATCTTTAAATAAATAAATAAATTTAAAAAAAAATACTTGTAAAAAATAATTAGGCTCACCTTTCTTTCATTAACATTGTCCCAACTCTAAAATATCTTCCTACATCATTTAACATTTCAAGAGCTAGCATTTTGTCAAACCATTCCAAATTATTCATAACCAAAAAATTATCGACTTCATTATCCAATATGAATCCACGTCTTGATGCGTACATAAGTCCATTATTAAATATACGATGTAATTGTTGATTTAAAGCGGTTACATGATGTTCTATCATGGTGACTGACATGGGTTGACGCTCTGTATTACGTCCTGATGGGTCTCCTATTAAGCCTGTGGCACCACCAATCTGATAATTTTATTTTGATAATTCGATCAGTATACATCAAGATTATAATTCATCATTTTGAAAATATGACAAACCAAAGCAATTGCACGATGGCCGAGAATATTGAAATGTAATAATCCCATTAACGTTAATAAATTTCCTAAATGTAAACTAGGTGCTGTAGGATCTATACCACAATATATCGTTGTTTGTTTTTTTACGTGGTTTTTAATATCATGACTTTAAAAAAAAATAATAATAATGATGGCATTTTTTCAAGTAATCGGAGCGTAATATTAATAAACATTAAAACAATTTCGCTCAAAATCTGATAAAAACCTTGTCAATTCGTTAACCATTCCACGTTTCTCCAACTCTAAAATCACATTACGTTTATGAAGATCTATATAATTGTTACTAGTGGTATATCTTAATATACGAAAATGATATAGTGGCTTTGCTGGCCATATTGATGCCCTATTTTTGATGGATTTAAAATGAAGTTGAAATCGAAAGTTCATCAAAAATTTGAGATACGTCACACTGACTGGTATTTTATGTAGATCTTATAAGCCACATGTTTTTTTTTTAACTACAGTATATCGATATCTGTTTTTTTAGTAATTAAATGATTTTTGTATTAACGTTAAGTGCATTATGTTTCATAGAATTTATTAACTCATTACAAAGCGATCAAGGTTCAACCTGTACGTATTTAATGTAGCAAAGAATTGATTTATTTGTACGGTATTATTCTAATAGATAAAAAAGTTCATTTAACTTGAAATAATGAATGACACGAGTATCTATTTAAAAATATATGAACCATACTAAAATCCACCTATATTCTTTTACTATAACCTAAATATAAAAAATATGCACCAAAATTTTTACAACTTTCATATTAAATAAGTCCAATTTCGACTTCAGCCGTTTTCAACTTCAGTCGCAACAATAAATAAAAAATAAACTTTCGGCTTAAAGCTTACAAATAGTTAAACCCCAATCAATTGTTAATATTTGAAATACACAGTTTGTATTTCAAACATCAGTTTGTATTTCAAACATTTGTCTACTTTTATTATATAGCAAAAAAGTATTTTATATCATTCCGTAATATTTAACTCATTCAATCAGCTATCTATCAAATAATTAAAATTAATAATAAAGTTGGAATTTAATTATTAAAACAAAGAACAAAAATAGATGCCTTGATAAATCAAAGAAGTACAGTTGCTTCCGAAAGTTTAGAACATTTACACGGAAACATAATACGTAAAAAAAAATCAAAAAGTCATCAAAATATTATGCAAAAAAATAAAATTAACGTAATAAAAAAGCAAATCATAATATACTCATTGAATTAATAATTATCAATATAATATAATTTTATGCGTAATCTTTTGATAAATTTTATTTTTTTTATGTTACCGTTATAAACTTTCGGAGGCAACTGTACATTTAATAAATTTGCTTTTATAAAGGTCATCAGGATAAGAATATATATGTGTATTTTTAATATTTTTTTCAATTCTGCATATTTAGTTAATTCAGATAAAATATTTTCATCATTTTGCCATTCAGTAAGGATTTCACAGATTTTTATCGCTGATGGGCATTTATTGGTTCTCTATCCCAACGCTTTTTCATTAGGTTTACGTAACATTGTGGAGTGTTCTTAATCACGGTTGGTCGTAAATCATTATGGCATATTACTCCTTGAAATCGTATTCCAAATTCTTGATTATAAAATACAGTTCTCCGTATAAAATTTCCTACATAACTATTCCAAAAGAATAAATATGTGATGCTGCTGTATAATGTCCTCTATAGATTCTGGTGCTAAAAATGGTAAACTCCATAAACTCCGTGTCCCCTTTCTGTATTTGGTGCTATATTTGCTGATATTGAAAGTCCTAAGTCTGCAATATAATTTATGTCGCAAAATATTACCGCTATGTAAATCTTGATGAACACGTCCTTGTGAATGAATTATTTGAAGGTCAGAAGCAATACAATGTAAAATGTTAATTTCTTTTTTCAATCCATTTGTGCTACGGCGTAGGATTACTACGCAAAGAACCCAATTCTGTATACCTTAAAACGAGGATATTCCATGGTACTTTAAAAATGCTGGATTTTTTTGCCAATATTACAATACGCTTTTAACTTTATTAATTAAAATACATGTAAATATATGCTATGTCGGATAAAAAAATGTTTGTGGAAAACAATGCGAATAAAATATAGAAACACCTCCTTTATAAATCCTTCGTTATAAACTTTCGATCCGTGAAGTAATTTAAGTGCAACACCTTTCATTGTATTTTGTCTCTTATCTAACCATCTCGCATAAAACACTATTGCAAAACCACCTTGTCCTATTTTTTTAATACCCGTAAATTCCTTATATGAAATCCATAATAATGGATAGCCTTCTTCCAATAATTGTTTTATACAATTATCAATTATAATTTTCTTTTTTCAATCCGTTTGTGGCTACAAATTATTATTGAGTAAATTTAAATTCTCAAAAGTAAATCAAATAATAAACTTATATTAATTACCCAACATATTTCTTTCTCTAATTATAAAGTTATGATTTAGTAAATGTATGTATATGGTTCTTAAATTAAAAACTACTTATATTTGATACCAATAGTTAGTATTCAACCTCATCTCAGCAGATTTTTGATAATAGATGAATGCCTTATGTTCATTCCTTTCAACTCCAATTCCATAAAAATAAACAATTTCATATCCCCATCTCTGCAGAATTTTGATAACAAATGAATGCCTTATGTTTATTTTTTTTAACTCTAATTCCTTCATCATAACAGTATCCAACATTATACATTCCCATAACATCACCCATCTTTGCAGATTTTAGTTAATATACGAATGCCTTATGTTCATCCTTTTCAACTCCAATTCCATTGCATTTCCAATCTCTGACGATTTTTGATAATAGATGAATTGTCCTATGTTCATCCTTTTCAACTTCAATTCCTATAACAATATCCGACCTGAAATATTCCATCAAAATTCCCCATCTCTGCTGATTTATGATAATAATGAATGCCTTATGGTCATCCTTTTTATCTCCAATGCCATTTTCATAACAATATACGTTCCCAGAGTATGATCCATTTCTGCAGATTTTTGATAATAAATGAACGCCTTATGTTCATCCTTTTCAACTCCAAATTCGATAACAATTACCAAGTGCAAATGTTCCACTAACACTCCCCATCTTGGCTGATTTTAGATAATAAATAAATGCTTATTTTCATCTTTTTCAACTCCAATTCCAATATCCAACATTATATATTCCATTAATGTTTCCCATCTCTTCTGATTT